GTAGACAAACAGGCCAGTGTGGTTCCCTCTCCTGCTTTACCTCGTATGTGTAGAAAACTACGCTAACACTGATTATCAAAAATCCTCACGCTAATGAACTATGTTCTTTGACTTATGAAGTTTTCAAAGTCATCACCACTAATGTTTATTTTATATAGATAAAACTTGTTTTATTTTTGTTGCTTTATTTAGCGTTAGTATCATCTCAAAAGTGGTTGAGAGTAAGAAATATATTTTTGCAGGTAACTTAAATAGGCGACTATGGGGTCAACATCCTGCCTTGAAAAGGATCACATAAGCCGGCAATTGCTCTTTGAGCATTAAGCCCGGCTAAAAATGTAGTAGCGGATCTAGAGGGAATTTGGGGGTTTCAACATCCTCTTAGCGAGCGAGGAGCCCCAAATAGTTGTTATGTTTTATTTAAAGTTAAACTATCTATAGTTAGATAAGTTTAAACGTTAGTTTTTATGGTTATGTGTTAAAACTACTTAAACATCAAACTTCCGCCAGAGTACGTTTGTTCAAATGAAACTGAGTGCGGGGACGCAAAGGACTATGAGTTGTACATGCAGCAATGTACAGTTATTATGTACTAACGAAAACTCTGGAATTTCGCATCAAAATGTTTTATGTCATAGGGATATATATTAACAGATTAAAAATAAGAATTTAGTTTCTAATTGTATTATGAAAGAATTAATTAATTGGTTTGCGGCCGATTTTTGACGCTTCCGTCAATATGTTTCTTGTGTTATTATTATAGGTATTACGTATTTTTTTTTATTTACCGAAAAAAAATTCGGCAAAATTGATAGGTACGCGAACTCCTGTGATCATAGAGAAGTATGATCTAATATTTTATTCATAAATCCATAATTATCAATTTCCATTAACAGGGAGTATTGAAACTAGCCATCCACTTCCCAATAGAAAATATACAATGTCATGTATACTTATAAATTAAAAACAATTGCATATAATCTCCGAAACGGCTTGCTACATGTACCTCCTCTGTTAATACACTATGTAATGTTTAATTTGATGTTTGTAAACTATACAGCTGAACGCTTTTTTTAATCTCACGTGGTTTTTCGCACAAAATAAAGTAATTCTTTTCTTGCAATTACCCCGGTAATAACGTAAAATTATTGAGTTTTAGTACGAAACATAACCCTTATTAAATGTTTCATGTTAAAGGTGCATAATATGCTCTAAAACCATTATCTATGTTTTAAAAGTCAATGTTCTGAAAGGGAATTAATAAATTGTATGATGTTAAATGTGTGGATTCTATCAAATATATTTACAAAATTAATTCTTAAATCTTTGATACAGTTGGTTGAAATTAATGTTCAGACTTACTTGTTACAAATGAGAATTTTTCTAGGTACTTTGCATATTTTCCATACTTGTCTTGTTTCTATCGAAAAATGACAAAACTGCTTAAAGAAATCATGTGAAAGGGTCGAATAATAAAGTATTGTTTATCCTTCAACAGGGAAAATTGTAAATATTGAAAAAAAATTCTTTTAAATGTGTTGTCTTAAACTCTGAAATCATGTCAATTATTTTGTCTGAATTATGTTTAATATTTATGATCAAATTTAAATTATAAATCATTTTAGAAATATGTTTTGTTGTCACGTTACACAAATTGCATTATTACACATATATATTGCGTATATATGACATTAATTTGTGCGAAAAACCATGTGAGCTTAAAATGTGTGTTGAGCTGTATTCAGATTTCACTTGCATAGCAATTATCATAAATTTAATCAAAAGTCTAATTTCACTTTCGGTAAACAGTCTCAAAATAGCACAAAAGAGAGTAGGTTGGTGTTTCCGGTTGGTGATTCTAGGGTCCACGCAGTAAATATACAAGCGAGGTTAAATCGGATGCTATTGGTATACGTCAGGCTGCGCATGCGCGAGAATGCTGGAGAGTAGTCTCGGGTCTTTCCGTGAGAGATCGTAAAAACAACTTCTCAGGTCGGAAAAGCCCGAGCATTTGCGATTGGGAGAGTTAGCACCCCTCCCTCCCCTGAAACAACTTACGTATACCGTAGAATAATTCGCCCTATTCGAATTAGAATATGCTATGTTCATCGGGAAATCTGGCTTTTAAATCTGCATACTAGTATTTATTAAATTATTGGCGAATCCGAATTTCTTTCTTATACATACACATTTATATAGAAACTTAACATCGATTCTACGCCAGATGTATTTTAAAAAGTATATAGGAAGAACTTCCTGAACAACAACTTGAATTAAGAACTTCATTCAACGAATAGTTCCAGGTTTTAAAAGATAAAATAAGTCTTCTTCTACAATTATTTTGTTCACCAACCCTTGCAAAACTAATTTGATATACAGCAATCAAAATACAGCTTACAGCAACGGTTTTCCAGGTGGAGGAGGAGGGGGAGCTCTGAAAAAAAATCTGCGTATTACAGAGCTGTGCTGTATCATTAGAGATGCAGATTTCAGTAAAGTCACAGCCATTTTTGGGTTACATGTATCAATATAGCCCAATTTTTTTTTTTAAATATAAAACTATATAGGCCAATCGGAGATAACATTTAACAGTTTTGCTATATGTAAGTACTATCAGTAAAAGAATGCAGATCATAATAGACAATATGAACGAACCTTCATGAATATTCACTAATCCTACAAATTGACTTGAATTGAATAGCGTTTAGAAACACATGCATATGGTTCACGTATTGCAGTCCTTTTTTTAAAAGACAGTAACTTGTAGTAATATATTTACATTGTCTTCAATAAAACTGACAACAAGCAAGCAATCAATTATATCAAGAAACGTCATGTATGAATGAGTCAATCAAAACTTGATCAAAGTGATATAAATGAAATAAGTCGTTATTACTTTTTTAAAAAAAAAATGTGCAAATCCTTTCCATATATGTCCTATTTCACTCATATTGAAAGTTCTAAAAATTTAGATAGCATCGAACCTTATGTTTAAAAGAAAATCAACAAAGATCGTCATGAATAGGCATGGAATATTTACCAGAATGAGTTATATATATATATATATATATATATATATATATATATATATATATATATATATATATATATATATATATATATATATAATGTTAATGATAATGAAATTTACAAATTAATGTCGATTAAGGCTATGGTTATTTGTTTTCAAAATAGATAAAGTAAGAGTGTCGCAGTTATTTTTTTTTTCATATTTTACTAAAGCTATTTAAAGATTTATCGCCTTTAATCAAAACATTTTATTGACTTTTGTACATACATTCTATTGTATACCTATATATACCTATAAGTTCAGTATACATTTCAAGTAAATATTCGTTCAAATGTTGTTTTTTTTCAATACCGACAAATGAACATAATGTGTTTCTTCCTCTCAATGAACACAGGTTGTCGTGATGTCTAATAAAGTACAATAGATACTTGAATGAAATTGCTTTACAACATGCAATGAGTTTTTTAGTTTTAAAAAGGGAAGGGCTGTACATATCTTTCAATTATTTATTTCTGTTTCGTATCTACATGTAACTGCGGGGTCACACTGTAAGCGTGTATATCTAACTGTCAGTAGGAACTGAAAGATGCTTTTTGGAAAAATCTGGTTAGAGTAAGAAAAAAAATAATCCTTTAATTTTCCGTCGCACTTGTGCGGGTATCTTCTAGATTATATTAAAATTTCATGAAAATCAAATCAAATATATTCAATCGCTAAAAGAATTGTTATAAAGTTTCTTCGAAAATCATAAACAAAACCTTTAGAGGAAGAGACTTCTTATTTAATATGCATACTCCACTGATTATTTTATTTCAATTGACACCAAGATCAAAGCCTTTGTAACCTTGATTTTAAGATTTTGATTGTTGTTTCAGTGAATTAATTTTGATTTCAATGTATGATTGCACAATATTACGGAAATAAAAGCCAATGTGATAGTTATATGCGTTATTTATTCAAAGTTTTGTCCGTGCGTCGACAGGCTTTATCGGCCTTCATATAAACCGACCTTATATTATTAATATGAGAGGTTTACATTTAAAAATTCATAATTTTAAAGAACATTAAATATGTTATGTCTATGCAGAATTTGGTAAGTATTGGTTGCACGTTAAAACATTATATCCATTGTCTATGACTTTTTGGGATAACCCTCGTATATGCTAAAATAGCTTTTTTCAAATGTTGTCTCCGCCGGGCGCATAGTTTTTCACAAACACATCTTTTCTTTGAAATTATTTAAAATTACGAGCCCAAAATTATTAAAAAAACAGTTTAATTTCCTATAATATGCATTCCAAATACATTTTATAAAAAAAGCCTTTTAAAATGTATAACCTGCATTTTTAGAATATGATTTCAACTACCATCTAATGCATAATTTAAGAAAAATAGTAAAATATTAAAAAATGCATCAGATATCTCAAGTCAATTTTCATGGGAAAAAAAAAACAGAAAAAGAATTGCTTCAGTCAGGCAAAAGAATTCTTTCTACGTGTAAAAATGACTAATAAATCAAACAGACAGACTGTTAGATGTGATTTTCTCATGAATGATTTAAATTCAATGTCATTTATGCACAAGATTACTGTTATAAACAATTAAAAAGATGTATATTGTTATGTAATCTTGTAAAAAAAATCATATTTAGTAGAAAAGTGACAATCGGGATATTAAAATCAGATCTGTATATTAAAGTATTGAACTTCCTTATGGTAGATTCGTGTATATTTCTACATAAGTATGTTGGCATTTAAAGTCTTCTCAAGACTGTGTCAAGGACTTCAATTCTTGCTGGACAAAGAAAAGGTTACTAAAATGTCTCAGATTTTAAGTTCAATCGAACTTATTATTTGCAAAACATCAGAAGGGACAAATTGTATTAGAGAATACGTAAAATATTCTATAGTTTGAGAACACACATTTTTTTTTTCTTGAAAATATTTATATTAATTGTTTTTCGTTTAAGGTGGGTCAGTTGATGGTACAGTATTTGAAATACAACCAGACAAGACAATAAAAGAGCTTTTTCCATCAACGGGTGGCGATTGGTGTGGATCATTGGCGTTACAAGAGTATTTGAAATTTTTGGAGAGGATATTTGGCAACGAAATTTTCAAAGATTTTAAATTAAAAGAGCCTGGAGAAGTTTTAGAGATATATAAGGAGTTTGGAAATCAAACAAAAATAACCTCTGCTGACAGTGAAAGGAAATACATCGCTCTGTGGATACCTGCTGCATTGCTTGAAATGTCTTTAGCCAAGAAAACGGTGGAGGAGTTAAATCATACGATAGATTTAGTATCAAAAATATATAAAGGGGATGTTTCTCTACGCGGAAATAAATTAAAAATAAGTCTAGAGGTTTTTAGAAAATTTTTTGAACCAAGCATTTACAAAATAAGTGGTTACCTGCACAACCTCTTACGTCACCCAAATGCCCAAGACGTCGAAGTGATTCTTCTTGTTGGTGGCTTTTCCGAATTTACTATAATAACCGATCCCATTACCAAGGAATTCTCTTCTTACAAATTTATTATTCCAAAAGACTCTGGTGTATCTGCATTAGTAGGGGCTTTAATTTTCGGGCACAATCCTTTGTTGATTCAAGAAAGGCTTTCAAATTATACATATGGATGTGTTGCAGTTTATGATAAGCAGAAATTTTCAACAGACGAAACTCCGGTAGGCAGTGGACATTTTGATCGGTTGGTCGAAATAGGCCACCCATTGAAAATAGGTAGAGTGCAGGTTAAAAAGACATATAGTCCAGACAAGGACGTAAAGAACATCTCGATCTACTTATATGGTTCTACAAAGGCAAATCCGGTTCTGGTAAATGATAAGAGTTGCTTTTATCTAGGAAGTGTTGCTCTGCGACTCCCACACAATACAATTGAAAAGAGAGAAGTCAAACTGGAAGTCTCTCTTAAAGGATCAATGATTGAATTGACGTTGGTGGATTCCTTGTCTGGGAAGTCTGCAGATGCTTCAGTAAATACAAGGTATGCAATATAAAAGCTACATATGTGTTCACTCCTTTATATTTGCATGACTGTCACTTAAGGTCACGATCTAGGCAATGAAAGATGCCAACTACAGATGTATCGAATTTGAGAAATAAATTATTTTATTGATGCTTTAAAATTTTAGCTTGGTCAAATAACGTGTTTTGGGGCATAATCTGTGGTAAACAAGGTGAAAAACTATATATTAATCTGTCATTTTCAATGAAAAATTAAGAAAACCAGTTATGAATATTAAGATTGCCTAAAGTCTCTCAGAAAACGGAAATTGAAATGTCCACGGTCTCTTCTGAGAAGTTTTTAAAAAGGGTAGATTTGCTCACTAATTTCTTATCTTTGTAATTTGCAGCTTTTCAAGAAATATAAAACAAATTTATTATGTCAGAGTTCTTACATATAAGGGTTGTTTTTTCATTAAACTATCACATTTTCATAAAGAAAGGTACAAAGAAACTTTCCATATAAACTTAAATAATTTAACACAATTAGTCAAGTGAATACGACATTTCAATTCATATCAAACTTATTTTTTGCTGGATGATTAAAAGAATTAATTATGTTATCTTGATAATTTTAACGCGTTTAAAAGATACACCATAGAGTGTAACAACAGGATATAACAAGCTAATTCAGAGAATTAGTATCCCCCGCTTAGGAAAAAAGTCGGATCCCCCTGATTGAATTTGTAGAATTATTAAATGTATACATATATACTGAAACACATACAATACATGTATGTCAATATGCTTATAAAGATAAGATTGCTTCTTCTTTATTATGTGTATAGAATATTCTCTTTAAATGGAATATTTATCATACTGTAATGATGGTTTTATGAATATGTACAAGCCAGACCTCATAATTTTTTTTTCATTTCACATGTTGAATACAATCATTTAGTAAAAAACTATTTCGGAGAAAAAAAGGATCGCCCGGGGATCAAACCCGGGACCTGTCACATGTGAAGCAAGAGACATACCACTACACCACAAAACTGTTGTAGACTGCCGAAAATGCAAATATGAAGTCACAATGCATGTTCACATTCGATATTGACAAAATTTTGCACAATGCATGGTGTCTAATTTGACCTTTACTAAACAGTTCTAATAGATGTAATAAGAATATGAAGTCCGCCTAGAACCTGTTTTAATTTATACATAATAACTCTCCTCATGTCCGTGTGCTAAAAATGGTGACATTTAATACCATAAATACTAATAAAACAAACAGGATGGGACACTTTGAGAGGGGTGACAGAGGTCCTAGGGAGTTATGTTATAAATTTACCTTGGGAAAGCTAAATATCCTCTTGAATCCTCTTAAAACTTCGCCGGAATAGTGTTACACACAAAGAGTATATTGAATTATGACCTTGAACTTTGACCTTTTGATCTCAAACTCTGTAGGTGTCTTCCTTCGGCCTCACTTCGGAGTTGTTATGAAAAACTACATTTCAAAAGCTCAAAGGGTTCTCGAGATATCGCGCGGAAACGAAAGTCTTACAACAGACAGAATTTATGACCTTGACCTTTGACCTTTTGACCTCAAAATCAATAGGATTCATCTATAGTCCACAGGGAGTAGCTATGCAAAATTTCTTTGCAAATGCTCAAAGGGTTCTCGAGATATCGTGCGGAAACGAAAGCATTTCAGACGGACGGACAGAATCAAAGTAATATCCCCCAATTTTTAAGCTGGTGACAACAAACGGGACGGGACACTTTGCGAGGGGTGAAAGAGGTACTAGGGAGTTTTGGTATAAAATTACATTGCAAAAGCTAAAGATACTCTTGAAATATCGCCCGAAAAGGACAGTGTTACACACAGATGTATCGTAAAAAATTACGACCTTGAACTTTTTCATTTTGACCTCAAAATAAATAGGTATCTTCCATGGGCCACATGGAGTTCTTATGTAAAATTTCATTGCAAAAGCTCAAAGGGTTCTCGAGATATCGCGCGAAAATGAAAGTGTTATCACAGACAGAATTTGCGAATTTATGACCTTGACCTTTGACCTCAAAATCAAGAGAGTTCTTTTTTTCCATAAGGAGTTGATATGCAAAATTTCATTACATATAGGATTATTGAGATATCGTGTGAAAGAAAAAGCGTTATAGACAGACAGAATGACGGAAGGACAGACCCAAATTAATACCCCCACGGGTAGAATAAAAAAAAAAAATTGTGTTATGTTCAGCATATAACTGTATAATTAGGTCAGAAAGGATAAGCAAGTATTTCAATCAACAAAAGCATGCAATAAGATATTTAAAATTGAACTCATTTAAAGTGTAATTATTATATCTTATCTCTCCTATTAATCTTCATATTTTATGTTTTCGTAAATATATATAGTAAAGATGTATTTTCATTACTTTTGGCAGTTACAAAGTGCATTCAAATGAATACTTACTTGTTGGTGCGATTGACTTTGGAACAACGTATTCAGGTTATGCCTTTTCTTCAAAACAAGATTATGATGACAATCCGACAGAAATTACCGGCAAAATTTGGACAGCATCTTCTGGACATTTGCAGTCACAAAAAATTCCAACTTGCGCCTTATTTACTCCACAGAAGACTTTTCATTCCTTTGGATATGAGGCAGAAGACAAATATGCTACTCTGTCCTTGGAAAACACACATCATGACTGGTACTTTTTTCGACGTTTCAAAATGAAGCTTTACAATGAGTTGGTAATTATAAATCTTTCACTTCATTTCATTTGAAATAAATTTATCGTCCACAAAATTGTCCCAGTCTTCGGCACGGTAAAAAGTTTCTATACTGAAATGAAACTGTTGCAATTTCAAAGAGTATGATTGCTTCTGTCACTTGCAGTAAATATATTGTGACTTCTGTTCTTTATTTTTGAATACATCGAAAAACATGCACAGATTCTTCATTTTGGTTATCATATACCACAAGTATATCTTTTATTTTATTTATTTTCAGAAACTAAGAAAATAAATTTTAGTTGGGTTCTCTTACATTTAGATATATTAACAGCTAATTTCTATTCAAATGTGGACTCCAGACATTCCGGTTAATCAAACACAGATATTAAATATCTGGATATATTTATTTCTTTACGATATTGGCCAACTTAATTGATTGAGAAAGGTGATTATTCTAGGGTTTCGATTGTAAATTTCTCTTATTTTGCTGCCGTGTTGTGGAAATTCTTATGCGGTTTTAAAGCGTACTTATGCTGTTTATTAGCATTAATTTTAATCCTTGAATTAGCACCAATGTGTATAATTACTTAATGAAAAGAAGTCAAGGTATGTACATGTATCTACATGTCGAATTATTTTTATCAAACTCTTATGTAAACCAATATTAAACCTAGATAAAACTTAAATCTGATCTGAAAAATCAATATACTTTCTTTTACAATATAAGTCTTTGATTTTTTCGATAACTATTGACATACATTTGAGAAAAAAACACAAACTGTGCAACACTAGGTTGACAAATCCCGGAATCGTGTAACGGAAAGGGGACAGATTGGGGTCGGGTTAAGTGACCCACGGCCCATAAAAACTATTAACACAAACAAGCTAATTCAGAGAATTTGTGTCCCCCGCTTAGGGAAAAAGTAAACAATGCAGAGTTCGGGGTTGGATGGGGGGGGGGGGGGGAGTCAGATCCCCCTCAATGAATTTGTAGAATTATTAAATGTATACATGTGTACTGAAGCAAATAAAATATGGCAATATGGATGATGTGTATAGAAGATTCTTTTTATATGGAATATTTAACACACTGTAATTATGATCTTATGAGTTTGTACAAGCCAGATCTCATAAATCTTTCATTTCACATGCTAAATACTATTGTTTAGGTTAAAAAAGTATTTCGGGAAAAAAAGATAATGATTCGTCGGGGAATTGAACCTGGAACCTCTCACATGTGAAGCGAGAAGCATACCACTAGACCACTGAGTCGCTCTGCAAAGAAACAAATTATATGCAATCATGAAGTCATATATATGTATATATTCGTGCTCGGTATTGTCAAAATTAAACACAATCCACGGTTTTTTTTATTAAGCCTTTATTAAACAGTTCTAACAGATGTAATAAGAACATAACGTCTGCCAGGAACCTGTTATATACACAATAACTCTCCTCATGCCCCTGTGTTAAAAATAGAGACAAGTAATACTATAGATACTAATAAAACAAACTGGGCGGGGCACTTTGAGAGGAATGAGCAAGGTCTTTTGGAGTTTAATATAAAATTACATTGCATAAGCTCAAAATCGTCTTGAAATATCATCCAGGAATGATCGTGTTACACACAGACAGAATGTATAAATTTACGCCCATGAACTTTGACCTTAGGCCATAGGGAGTAGTTATGTAAAATTTCATTGCAAAAGCTCAAAGGGTTCTTAAAATATCATGTGGAAACGAAGGTGTTATAACAGAAAGAATTTGCAATTTTTAGACGTTGATCTTTTACCTTTGGATCTCAAAATCAAAAGGTTTTTTTTTAATCTATAGGGAGTTGCTATGCGAAATTTCATTGCAAAAGCACAAAGGGTTCTCGAGATATCGTGTGGAAACGAAAGCGTTACAGACAGACAGAAAGACGGACGGACGGAGGAACTCAAATTTATATCCCCCACTTTTCAAGCGGGGGAAAAAACAACACTTATCTAGTATTTATTTAACTGGCTGTATATTTTTGAAACAAAAGGGGTCCAGGTCCACTGGCCCCCCTCTAAATCTGCCAGTGGTATCACATACACTTTGTGTTAAGGCCTCTCAATAAATTAGATAGTCAAGAGTATAATTTTGGAAAGTACCCTAACAAAAATAATCCTACAGTAAACTTTAGTTAACTAAAGTTTACTAAAGTTAAGTACAGAAGCAAAGATAAAACTTTGAAAGTTTGATTCATTTATACGAGGGCTGTTCGGAAATCATTGAGACAATTACATTTACTCAATAAAGGACGGAGATAATTTCATGAAAATTCATCAACATTTTATAAAGCAGAATTATAACCCTTATGCAAAATTTCTAATTCCTATGATAACAAGGAAAGTTTCGGTGAAATGGCTAATGACCTGGAGCAGCATCGCTACGTCATTTAACGTCACGTCAGCCGGAGATGGTTTCGTATGTAAAACGACCGGGAAGCATTTAGTACTTTTCTTTCTTTGTTATCACATTACATAACAAAAATCTCTTTCCTTAAACTATTATTTAAAATGTATGCTGTTGCTACCCCAGTGTAAACTTTTCATTTGTGGGAAAGGATGACTTAGAATCACTGCCGATATATGCAACGCGGATCAACGAAATTAGTACCGCATTAATACCGTACGTGATAACTGATGGTCGTCCGGAGCTTTTCATTTTACTCTGGTTAAATTAATTGTAAAAAACAAAATGTGTACATGTACAAATAAAATAACAAAACGCTAACGCGTCATTTTTTCTCGTTGTTATTGTGTTACACATGTAGCAGGTTGTTCAGTCTTGAAAAGAGTTTTACATTGCGCTACACAACATTTTATGTACGCATTTATATACCATTGTACAGAAAATATTTAATAATTGTAAAATATTTTTTTGGTTTTATTAATTCATATTGTATGTCAAACGTATATGCAAATTATCACCGAAAGACGGTCATCAAAAAGAAAAATACAGTGGACCCTCATTTATAAGGACGCTTTGGTTCCCAGTAAATTTGTCCGGATATGTGAAGCATCCGGATATCTGAATCACCATTTAAACAAGAAAGTATAACATTTTAAAATTTCGATCAATTGAAAAATCGTCCGAATACTGAAGCATCCGGATATCTGGCGTCCGGATATCTGAAGGTCCACTGTATACACAGTGTCTCAATAATTTTCGAACAGGCCTTATTTACTGTGGTAAAACATTGAAAGTCTTAAAATTGAGTAAATACAAAATATCACTTATAAATTTGATTAAAAATATAAAAAAGAATATGAGTGATCAAATCTTGCTAAAAGTAAAGAAGAAAGTACTTTAAATGCGTACAAGTATTCCAAAAACAACACCAAAAAAAAATAATAATAAGCATTTATTGAATTATTATAATTTTTTTCTTGGTCAAAAGTGTAAGGTTAAACATGTTAAATTACAAATTATTTCCGATACAAATAATTATTTTGAAGTTGTAGTCTCAACCTTTGATTAGTGGTCTACAGTGTATTAAAGTGATATCTAAAAAGAATCTCTGCTGTTAATAATCATTATAGACTGTTCGTTTGAGTAATGTTAAAATCCAGACTGACATGACTATTGTGAATGCTTTGGGCACATGCGTCCGAAATATGTTATCCTTAATGAACATTTTTTTCTTGCAGACAATAACTGAAGATTTTCAATTAGAGTCATTAGATGGGAAGATGTTATCTGCCGTTCTTGTTTTTTGCTCTGTAATTGGTTTTTTAAGAGAAGAAATGCTTTCAAAAATTCATTTTTCAAACATAAACATCCATGAGTATGGTCTTCGATGGGTCATTACGGTACCTGCAATTTGGACAGATGCCTCAAAGTGCTTCATGCGAAAATGCGCTCTCCAGGTATTAACAATGATCTTAAAATAATTATAATGAAATGCAAATTGATTTTTTAATAATAATTTTAGTAAGAATGGTTTTTAATTTCAGAATACAAACAATAGATTTTTCTGATCACATTTTGTATGTAGTCTGTCCGTCCGTTTGTATGTCCGTACGTCCGTCTGTGAACGTTTACAATTTCCGACTTCTTCTCTAGAACCTTTTTGCTAATGTTAAGCAAATAAGCCTTAAGGAATCCTAGAGTAAAGGGGATTCAAGTTTATTCAAATGAAGGGCCACACCCTAATTCAAGGGGAGATAATTAAGATTTGCTGAAAATTTTTGGCATGTTTTAAATATCTTCTTCTCAAGAACCACTGAACCAGGAAGGCTGACACTATTGGGGAATCATCCTAAGGTAGTGATAATTTAAATTTCTTCAAATCATTACTCCCAGGGGTAGGGTGATGCCAGAAGGGACGATCATAATTTTACATAGAAATATATTGGAAAAATCTTTAAAAATCTTTTTAAGAGCCAGTCCGCCAGAAAATCATGCAAAACTGTCCAAATCGAAGGTTGTCATATTTTAATGTTTTGTGGGTAGTTAGACTTCATAATATGTTACCCAAAAATGCCCCCTAAAATTCCCATCATTCAACATGGCAGACATGGGCATTGCAACCTCTTTTTTGCACATTTAAGTGCAATTGCATTTAAAATTTTCAAGCGAAATGGCAAAAAGAAAACATTGGATTTAATGTTGTCAAAATTAAACATGCGTTTACTTTAAGGTATTCTTAAGTAACATTAGAACATTGTTCTTTCAAAATTGACATTTCAAATTATCTAATATGCAGCATATCAAAAGGCAGACAACTCTTGAAAACTGGCACAATGCCAATTTTTAACAATTGTCTAAAGAATTACAAATTTAATGCCCAAAATTATTGTACAAAGAGAACTCTTTGTATTATCTCTGCAAAACATCAAGCTTGGGAAAAAATAATTTCTTGAGATATAGGCATTTAAAAATTGTCAATTTTCGAAAAAATTGTTCAAACTCAAATGGGTTACAAAGTCAAATATAACGCTTCAATTTGTAAAACTCGTGTTGTTAGATAAAGAAACATGTAACAATTTTCTTTGAAAAAATAATTTAGATTGAAAAAATATTAAAATTAAAAAATCAAATTAATAAAAAAAATTGTCAGACAATACCCCAAAATTTGAGAATTGGCATTTTGCCAATTGTTTAGAAATTAAAAAAAATGTTATACATTGTATAGGCTTACTTGCAATTTTTCAACAAAAATATGAATATTCTTGTTACTTACGTTTTTGTAAGTAAGTTTCTCTTAGGTAATAAAACGGAATGTATAAGTATTTTAATTAGTTCAGACTAATTAACACTATTTTATTAACATTCATATAAGTTTTGAGACTTGAACATATAAAATTTGAGCCATCAGTAACTTTTTTACTTTCTGTCAGTTTTAAGTTGGTGCACCCTTGTAAAAATACTGATAGTACATGCTTTACTAAATACTTAATAAAGGAGTTTAACAAATGAAAGATTTTTGAGTTTACTTTTATCACACCTCCCGAATCAAACACTTGTTATTTTTTCGCTTCAGCCTTGTCAAATCCTTTTTCATGTTAGTTTAGTTTTACGCCCCCCGGCCTTTCAAATCCAATTCTACGTCACTGCTTTCTCAGAATTTTCGTGAATAAGAGACTGAACATGACTAATTCAACTTGTATTAAAAATGGGGGATTGAATCGATAAAATATATATATTGTTTATGACAAAATTTGTGTATTTTAAGTTATATAATCTAAAATTATACAATATGTTTTCCGTTACGTGTTTTAGCAACACCCTTTCAGAAGTTCAACCCCTATTATCATTGATCATTATATCCATAATTTAATTAATTTCAAAATATACGGTAAATTGTTGGAAGGTAGATGGGGTTAAACGATTGGATACTAGATACACTCGTATATTTAATATCTTGAACTTAAAAATGAATTTATTATTCTTTTCTCCACTGCCATGCCCCCCCCCCCCCTACCCCAACTGCTTTCAGCGGTACATATAACACACATACATGGTAAAAAAGAAGAGATTTTCCACTCAATCTCAAATGGTATTAATATTTTCGCTATAGTTCTTCAGACAAAGAATCAAACAATTTACGAAACCTCATACAATTTTATTAGTAATGTTATGTTATACTTGCTTGACCTAGGATGTCCCTTCTCACAACACATGTATTTGCTGTCTCTCCAGTAAACAACATCTTCACAATGTTTTTAAAACATATGATAATTTAAAATCTTTAACAAGTAGAGGTTATCAAAATTCTTAATTAAACAAATACATGTACAATATAAATGGCCTTCCCGCAAGGACTATTCATGGCCATTGGAAACAGGGGGGAGAGGGTATGTAGCCCTTCCAACAATTTGCCGATGTATATAGTGGAGGGTCCTTTATCAGTGGGGTTCACTGATGCAATCAGTGTCATCTTCTTTAATTTGAGCTGATGATTTTTCATTGGGAGATCTGAATTTATCAATAAATTATATGGAATCAATGTTAAAGTATATGATGGCTTAAAGTATATGATGTAAAATTAAAAATATTCCTAAGAATGACGGTGTTTGATTAACTCAAAAATACACTAAATTTATGAAACGAAAAAAAATTGATTGAAATTGCCAATTACTTTTTGAATTTGTTGAGAGTATATATTCAATCAAAAACAAAATCTAAACAAATGTTTAGCATCTGCAAATATAATTTAAACTTCTATCGTTTGATAATCAAGAAGTTGAACAAAAATTGGGGACTTCAAAAATTTAATATTTATTACATGATCAATTTGTATATTTCAAAGACTAGCTGCATTAGATAGTAAATAGATTTACCATAGATACATAATTAAACTTTAAAATATTTAAAATCAAATGGAAAAGGCTAAAAATAGAACTTTTTTGACTGTAATCATGACATTCGTCAAAGTTGATGTTTTCATGTGAGCTTAGTTTAGCTGTATTTCAGAAAAAATCACCGGATTCAAATCAGGCATATGGCAGCTTCAGAAGAATTGTTCAGATTGAAATATAGTGAACTTGAACGAGACTACATGCCTTAAATAAAATATCAAATGTATAATTTTAGAAATAAAAAAATTATTTATTTCATAGGCGTCCAAACTGGGGGGGGGGGGGGGGGGGTGGCTGTGGCTAGTAGGGCTTACATGTAGCCCCCCACCCACTTTTTTCCCAATATATACTTATTATAGACGTTGAACACTGCTGCGTAGGTTAAACCCCCCTGCTTTCCACAAACACCTTGTAGTATAGATTAAAAATGGGGAAAGTGTTGGTGTTCGGAAAAAATGGTAATGAAGTTAGACCCCCCCCCCCAAGAAATTGGATTTTCTTGTTTGGGAATGGACATATCCCTATTTTTTTGTTTTTTACTTGTCAGGTATTTTTGAAGGTATAACCTTTTTTCACTTAGCCCCCACTTTTAATTTGCGTCTGACGCCAATGTATTTTTGATAAAAAATTTGTTAATATTTAAATACATTAAAGTAATTCCACCCTCCTATGATGTCATAGGTTTTTGCAAAAACTGTAATCCGTTTAAATTGATACCTAATAGAACAATATCTCTTTGAAGAATGCTTTACAATTGGTGTAATGATTAATATTGTTAAGTTAAAGAATTATAAAAATGCATATTTTCTTTATTAAATCAATTATTCAATTTTTAATTAATGTTGACAAAGTCTCTTCATTCAGGTATTTGCTTTACTGTGAAATAGTTTTCCTGATGTTCACAATTCAAAAGTATCTTTTAAGTAGGAAGTATTTTGGAACACTCAGCATCAGAATTATGGATTTTAACCAGTTTTTACAATTTTTAATAATACTTTTACACTGTAACAAAAAATGTGCCATTTTTTAAATTGACTTACACTTCTGTTTATTTATGTTTTGCATCTTAAATAATATGGTGATCTATACATTTTTGCTATAATTGGAAAGTTTAAAGTATATTAAATGAAAATAAATTCAGCTTTATTCTTTGAACCTATAAAATTGTGAGGGTTCAGTCACCTTAAAGAGACATTAAAGTAAAACTGCATAATTTCATATTCGATTCTACTTGCTAGGAAAAAGTTTGTAATTGTTTATTACCGCAAAATACATGCCAGTTCCTCAAGGATAGAATCCTATAGAAAACATAGCTACATGTAATATATGCTTGTTTCCTCAATTAAATAAGGTCATAAAGTGTTACTTGAAATATGTGAAATTATAGCAAAGTACGATATTTCAAAGTTAATTCACAGCATGTACATGTAGAATACAAATTATACCTTAGATCATTCTTAAAGTAACAATTAATTTCATTTGATTTTAAACTTGGTTTTGAGAGAAACGAGCATCTGAAATGGCTAAAAAAGCATACTAATTGATTTAAGATATATAAACTAAAACATGTAAATATTTAGCTTGTGTTAAAAGAAATGTTATTTTTCCTTTGGATAGAAAAAAAACTGTCGCATGCACTCTGTAAATAATTTCAGGTACTATAACAATACTTTCTATCTATTCGTAGATTGTATAGACTTTTATTGACCCTGGGGGGGGGGGAGTAAGGACTGTCTCGAATTTCCTTTGTTAAAGATAAATACTTTGATAGTGTAACAGAGAAAATTATGTGCCTCTGCTTAATTGGGATCGAACCCGAGGCCTCTGTGCTTTACCGAATAAGGTTAAGGGTTATCCCACTAGCCTAAGCTAGTAGGAAGCCGTACGTGTGTCGTTTGTACTACCACAATAGGATTTTTTATCCAAATGTTGCTAATTTTCTTTTACTATTGCAGTATACGCTTAAAAAATTCATGCAGCTACACGCGTACACTGTACGTCAAAGTAAATATTCCGTCTTTGTCATGCGATTTTTTATACATTTATGTACAGAAATATATGTCATG